CATCGAAGAGGGAAAGCGATTGGACATTGCTCCATACAACGATCATCTCGTCTACTACATTGAACAGATGACTGCTGGCCAACAATGGGAGAAGAAGGCTAGGGAATTGATTATCGCAGAGGTCATCCATTACCCACAGCTGGAGGCCTTATCGGTGCAGGTCCAGGCAAATTTCCTGCCAGTTACGGCGGAAACCCTGAATGCTGTCGACCAAATTCTCTACAAGCAGAGGGAGGCACACCGCCAGATCGTGGATCTGACTGAAAGATCACGAGACCCGGACATTCGCAATCGACCGAAGTATGCCGAGGTGGCTGAGATCATGCGCCGACTCGACGAGCTGAATTCGAAACCAAATGGGACTTTGGACCTCGAGCGGGAGCAGAAGCGCCACGAAGACTGGATGCGAGAGGGTAAGAAGCTGTTTGGCAAAACCAACGCACCGCTTCACATTCTGAAGAGCCATATGGATTACGTGTTGGAACGCAATCAAGACTGCTTCGATATCGTCAACGACAAGCCTCGCATGCCTGCCGAACCCGCGTCAAGGGAAGCCAGTCCCGACCAAAAGGTGCACCGCTGGGAGGACCCTCGGTTCCGCGAAGTGTTTTGCATTTGCCGAAAGGTGGAGGCCGGCATGATGATTGAGTGCGAGCTCTGTCACGAATGGTATGTCATCAAACGGCCTTTTCGGATTCAAAATGTTAACCAGCCTCTCTAGGTACCACGGTAAATGTCTCAAGATTGCTCGCGGCAAGGTCAAGGACGAAGACAAGTACACGTGCCCCATTTGCGATTGGCGAGTCAAGATTCCGCGAGATGCAGCGCGACCCAAGATCGAGGAGCTCATTGCTTGGTCCGACAAGATTCCTAGCCTTCCATTCCAGCCCGAGGAGGAGGAGGTCCTCACTAAGATTATCGACAATGCCCAGGACTTCAGAAACCATATTACCGGCTATTGCAATCCTGTGGTATCCACCGAGTCTGAGGCCGACACCCAACGATTTTACTTGCGGAAGATTGAAGGCGCTGAAATCCTGCTTGCTTACGAAACCAACTTCTTTAGGCAAGAGTTGCATAAGTGGTGCCCTGTTGCGCCAATGGCACCGCCGGTTCTTGAGGTCTCCAAGAGCACTCGCAAGCCGCGCCCGACCAAGCTTCAAAAGCTTCTGGCACAATTTGGTGTGGATGATGCAGAAGATCTCCCAGAGAACATGAAGGCCAAGGCAGCCAGCTTGAAGCGGAAGGCTCAGAATGCTGAGGCAGCCGCGGTCGCGGCCGCGGCAGCGGCCGCTACTTCTGCGTCTGGCGCAACTGTGCTGCCACCTGGTCTTCAACATGGCCACAGTCGTAAGTCGGAACAATCGTCAGCAACGCCTCCTTCTACCTCTCACGGCAACATGGGCCGTCAATCTATTGGAAGTAATCACGATCCCATGGACATTGACAGTGGCCCGACACTTCATCCAGGCCTCTTCATGTCTAATGGTGCACCGGGTCCGCAACTTGTTGTTGGCAACTCTTCGATGTCTCTCGAGGAACGTCTTCTCCGAGGCGAAGAAGATGGGCTTAACTTGCACACTGAAGCTGGGAAGAAAGAGGCTCTGACGATCCTGGGTCGGACAGACGAAGGCCGTAAGAGGGCCGTAGAGATGTTTGGTCCCGACGTGTTCAAGGGCGATGTTGGCATCCTGAACGGCAGGGATGTTGCTCCCCATTCACAAGAAGATGTGCGAGCAGTGAATAAGATGTTCGACGACCTCACGAACCAAGACGATGACGATTTCAAGAGGAAGCAAGAGACCTTTGATGGGCCCATCACAGCGGAGAGCCTCGAAAGTGAGCGAAACGGCATGGATGCATTGCTCGACGGCGACTAGGACTTCTGGCCTGCTCCACACTGCTTCAGCTTTTAACCCCCCAATGGCAACAAAGGGGATCGGAATCAAAGGCTTGGAGTCTTATTTCTTGTGTCTCGGCGTTTGTGGACAAGTCTTTGAGGCCCATGTGAGGGAGGCGGAAATTCCACACGGGCGGATTGTATGATCAGGTGTCCGGAGGTTAAGGCATACCACTTTGCATTAGATGGAATGGGCGTTTGCAAGTGTGCCAGATGTACCACTCAGTTTCAGCCATCGTTCGGAATGGTGTGTCGCATTACCGAAGAAAAGTCAATTACGAAAGGGAAAAGCACTAGTAGTTTGTTTGTTTTGGACTTTAATAATACAATCACTTTGTAGCCACATAAGTCTTTTGATGCATGACGTACGTTGTCTTGGTTCTGGTCGAGAAATCGACCCGTTATGTGTACTGTCGTCGGAACCTGGCTAGGAATTAGGCGATCATGATGGAGCTTCAAATATTTCACACTGTTTAGCAGGGGAGTTCCTCGGGAACGACGTTGAGTTGGCAAAAACGCTTCAAATTTTGGATATAGTTATATAGCCTTCCCCAGACCCCAATCATAATATTTCATACAATCATTTTCCAACGAAATAATTTACAAGCCGAGGGCCTTGGCAATAGCCTTGCCGACGCCATGGGCGGAGGCGGGGTTCTGGCCGGTGATGACGATGCCATCCACGACGACCTTTTCGCCCCAGGGCTCGGCGGCGAGCTCGTACTTGCCGCCGTTCTCCTTGAGGCGGTCCTCGAGCATGAAGTTCATCTCGGGGGTGAAGCCGGCCTGGTCCTCCTCGGTGTTGGAGAAGCCGGTGACGGTCTTGCCAGCGACGAGGTAGCTTCCGTCGTTGAGCTTTGCGTTGACGACGGCGGCGGGGCCGTGGCAGACGGAAGCGACGGGCTTGTTTTGGGCGGCGAACTCGGCGATGAGGGCGTGGGAGGTTGCGTCGAAGGCGAGGTCGTACATGGGGCCGTGGCCGCCGGGGTAGAACTGGGATGTGTTAGTGTGATGTTCAGATAGCAAGGTACGGAGGAGAGAGTATAGGCAAACGTACGATGGCGTCAAACTCGGAGGCGCGGCCGACAAAGTTGGAGAGCTTCTCGGTGTTTTCCCAGATGGCCTTGTGGTTCTCGAGGAAGTTCTTGGAGGAAGGGTCGCTGGCGAACATTTCGACAGAGGCCTGGTCGAGGGGCGCGACGCCGCCCTTGGGAGAGGCAAAGGTCATTTCGACGCCGGCTTCCTTGAGGACGTCAAAGGGGTGGGCGAGTTCGGGCAAGTACCAGCCGATGGGCTTGCCAGACTTTTCGGTCTTGTCGACGGAGGTGAGGACGATGAGAACCTTGGGAGCCATTGCGTATGATGTTGTATGTGTATGAAAAGGTAGAAAGTTGGATTGAAGATTTGTTTGATTTGATTTATGAGGGTATCTTGGGTATCAAAGTTGAGTGTAATGAGCTTCTGTCCGGGACTGCCTAACCGCGCGGGGGCATCGAGCTCTTTTGTACTTTCATCGCAACCCCATCATACACATGGGTAGCTCCATCGACGGTCTGGCCATCATGGTAATTATCTTAAGGCACTGACCCCACCATTGGAAAACAAGCAGCTTGTCCGGGATGCCGTTGAGCTTATCCCCCTGGCACGAAGCGGAATGTGCAGTCTAGGTGCGGAAAGGGGGGAGAGTGCATGAAGAGCTTCACCCCGCCAATTGGTCAGGTTGACGTCACAACAGTTTCTGAAGACTATCCCCCTGCTCTGCCGTGTCTGCGTATGCTTCGTCCTCTGCCTCTTGAGTGATGACTGAGTGACATGTGCCGGGGTTGAAATTCGGGCCCGGCTGCAGGTACCTCTTGCTCTTGGTATGACTCGCTCATATCCATAAGCTGGCGGTGGAAGAAACTACCCCCCGCGCCAACAAACTCTTCATGGCGGTCCCGCGGAAACGACTCCACAGCTTCTTTCTTCGAAGAAGTGCGGCATGCCCCCATGTGTGTGTGTGTGTGTGTGTGCGTATGCGTGTGTGTGAGTGTTTACGCTTGTTTGACAAAGCAATGCGGGCGAATAAACTCTCCGGTTGCTTCCATGCCTTGCCAGAAGGGGCATCCGAGCATCTGGAGGGCTGGAGGGCGAGCACGGGGTGTCAAGGGTCTGGGGTTGGCATGTTGCAAATACGGCGAGCCGAGTGGATGGATCGGCCAGAGCGAGTGGGGTTTGAACGACTTTGACGAAGAAGATCGTCTCTTTTGGTTCGAGTTGGTTCTTGATCCAAGGGAAACCATCGAGGACTTCGAGACGAGGCTTACTAAGAGTTATAGAGAAATGTCTTAATGCCGATGGGGCGAGTCGTCATAACGCCGATGGAAGTATTTCGTACTGCTCCGTGGAGAGAGGCAAGAGCGAAGAGGCCCCCCTCCCCACCGGCGTTGATGCCCTTTCCGGCACAGATTCACCGGACCATCGGCCAACTTGGCATGAATATCACGGCACCCCACGGCACAGTTACACGAGTGATAGCATCGCCCTTTTTTCGTTGTCGGTTTCTCAGAGTTTCCACGGCGGCATGGGACCATCGGAAGTGGATCATCACTTCGACGGCCTCGGCTCGCATCCACAAGGCCAGACGGGCATGGCGGCTAGCACTCGGAGGTGCCGCGGTATGCGTGTGTCGCGCGCACACTCATTCCCGCAATTATACCAAGCCTCTAAAGATGTGGTGACGCCGGACGGTAGGGAGTGTTTGCTGCTAGGTTTTTGGTTGGTTTGGGTTCGTACACTACTCTCAGACAACCATTCTTCAGCCAAGGTAGCTCTTACATGAGACGAACGGAACATGAATCGTGTTTGCATACAAGCTGACCAACTGCTCCGACTTCTTGAATGACAGCTGTCGCGGCAGAAACAACAGCTATTCTTTTTCCATCTGCAGCTCCGCAACATGGCGGAGTTCCAATATGATACGAGAACGAGATGAGCTACAACACGACATGATGCATGTCCCCCGTACGGATACTCTATTTCATAACGGACGTGAGGATGTTTCTTCTTCCGCGTACTCGAGGACCTGGCAACTATTACCTTGAACACAGACGCAACCGCTTCAGGAGGCCGCCGCTTCCGGCCCCTGGGAGGGTTTCTGTCCCCAAACCGACATACTGCATCCATCGTCGTCAGCGCAGGCGGCAACAGACATCCATTATACGCAAAGGGGGGACTCACCTCGTGATATACGCGTGGATATTCTTGTCCGCCATATCCTTCCTCACATCCATGAGCAACATCTCGGCATCCTCTCGAGTCCAGCCCAGCACCTGACAAAAGATCTTCATCGTGATACCCTGCACGCCCTCGAGGTTATTCGTCATCTGCATGGCGCCCAAAATCTTCTGGTTCCTCCCCTTGGCCCACGGCGACGCCGGCACCGCAAACCTCTTCTGCTCGACGTTCTGGAACCCCGCGTCCGTCATGTACCGCGCGTACTCTAACGCCGAGAGCGCGTCCCGCCCGGCCTTGCGGATCCCCTCGAGCAGGTGATCGTTCCACCGCCGCAGCGCCGTGCCCTCGAGCGACCCGTCCACGGCCTTGAAGTCGATGACGGTCTCCTGGAACTCGACCCAGCCGCCCGGGTTGAGGTTCTCGTGGATCTGGCGAAAAAGTTTGGGAAGGTCAAAGATGGAGGTGCACATGTACCGGCCGTGGATGTAGTCGAATTTATGACTGAAAGCCCACTCGTCCTCGGCGTCGTCGATTTCAAAGTGACAGTTGGCGGGCACGTATTCCGGCTGAATGGGACTCAGGTCCGTGCCGAGGACCTCCGATGCGGGGTTCCTGTCGGAGAACTCGATGGCCCAGATGCCGGTGCCTGTGCCGATGTCGAGGACGCGATGCGGGTTGGTGACGGGGGCGAGGGCGAGCTTGTCGTTGAAGATGCGGAGGGCGATGGCGTGTTGGAGGTCTAGGCGGCTTTGCTCTTGCTTGGGGGTGTGTTAGTCTGGCCTTGGCGATATCGCATGTAAGGGGCTTCGCATACCTCGTCATTGGGGAGGAAGTATTCTGCGCGACAGTCAGCGTGGCGTTCAAAAGGTAAGTTCCTGCATGCAGTTGCGCCAACGTACTTCCTTCTTTATATGCGTGATATGTCCTGCCAAACTCCTCGACGAAGCGGTACACGCTCGATGCCACCGAGGCGGACGAGGAGGCGCGGCCGACATCGATGCCCATGGCCGAGTCGGCGTCGCTAATGTCCGTGTCGATGCTTAGCGACACGGATGTGCTGCTGTCAATGAGCGACGCGTTCAGCTCGTCGAGCGCGTTTGATGTCAGTCTGCTGGATCGGTCATCGTCAATGGTCGAATGCGCAGTCGAGATGCTGCTTTCCCTTTCGTTGGGTCCATCTGCCGGTGGCGGCTCGTGCCTCTCGTCTGTACCGCTTGAAGCCTCCATCATCCCTTATACCAATAATCACGGGAGATGGAGCAAGTAGCGACACTTTTAGATGCGAGGCTGAGCTGAACAAAAAGTGTCGCAAGCGCAGCCGAATCCCCCCCAAAACCCAAATGATGGCCTTTTCCGGCTATTCGACCATGGCGTCAGATTCCTTATCAGGCAGTGTCTGGACTCTCTCCAATTCCAGCCGAGGGGTTCTGCTGGTACCGAATCCGCTACAGAGGTCAACCCCCGCGAGACTCATCTTAGCGGCGAACGGATTTGACGAATCAACAAGTGAGACTCTAAGTCACCTTTGTCTAGCTGACGTCGCTAGACTCGATAGTCACTCTTGCAGGTTGGGGAATCTGCTGAGATGCTTCGTGGCTGCTGCTTTTGTTCAGGCGCACAACGTGCAATTCTGTCGATGCCGATGTGGGACAAACTTGGGGTCCTGCATAAAGGCTTTGTGAGTTTCTTATGTTACCAAGTGTTGGAAGTTTCGACATTTACATGGAAATTTTGCATGGAGGGAGCAAATCGTATGCCAGGAGCAAACTTGCAACTATGGCTGTCATATGTGAATGTGGATGTTCGAGAGAACATTGAAAGGTTGCCATCCGTTTTATTTGACTGGACCAAGATTACGATGCTGCACCGAAGCAATTGCAACATCTAGAAAGGCATGGGCAACTTCGGAACATACACCTCCTCAAGATACTTCACCTCCTCCTCAGAAAGCTGAACCTTTGAAGCGCCCACAGCCTGGTCAATCCTCTCCTTCGTCTCCAACCCACAGATGGGCATACACCCCTTGGAAAACAGCCACGCCTGCGCAACCTGCGCCATACTCACGCCCTTCTTCCCAGCCAGCTCCTCGACGCGCCCGACAATGGCCCTGTCGGCGCCATTCTCCGCGCCGCGGAACAGCATCTGCAAAAAGGGATCCTTTTGCTCGCGGGGATCGGAGCGGTCGGTCCACCCGTGCGTAAGGACGCCGGCCGCCAGCGGGGACCAGGGGAAGAGGCCGACGCCGGTGGCGTTGCAGTAGGCGTTCATCTCGCGCTCTTCTTCGCGGTAGAGGAGGTTGTAGAGGCCTTGCATTGAGATGAATTGGTGCCAGCCGTTGCGGGCTGCTACGTTTTGGAGCATTTGGAATTCCCAGGCGGCCATCTGAGTAAGGATGTGTTAGGAGACTGGAGCTTTGCCAGAGAATGGAGGAAGAGGAGCGTAATTGAGGACTCACTGAGCTGGCGCCAATGTAGCGGACTTTGCCGCTCTCAATGACATCGTGAAGAGCCTTCATGATCTCCTCGGGGGGCACATCGCGATCCATCCTGTGGATCTGGAGGACGTCAATGTAGGTACCGAGACGCTCAACACTACGATCCACGGCCTCGAGGATGTGCTTCCTGGACAGGCCGACCTGGTTCACGCGGGGACCATCGTTGCTGGTCAAGTTGGCCGGGTCGATGGGTCCCTTGTTCTCGTCGACGAACTGGAAGCATTTGGACATGACGACGAGCTTGGAGCGGGGGATGTTGTACTCCTTAATGGCGGCGCCGACGATTTCTTCTGATCTGCCGTTGGAGTAGGTGTCGGCCACGTCCCAGGTGTTGATGCCGCGGTCAAAGGCGTATTTGAGGATGGGGAGGGCCTCGTCCTTGTCAAGGAGCCAGGGTTGCCAGTTCTTGTCGCCAAAGGACATGCAGCCGAGGATGACTTGGGAGACCTTGAGGCCGGATTTGCCCACGCTGTTGGGAGGAGTCAGCTTTTGTTGTTCGTGGCAACGGGAATGATGTCGAGAACTTACCGCACGTATTTCATTGAATCCATGGCGAACTAGTTGGATATTGGATGGAGAGTAATGTGCACAACTGAACAAGAGTGTTTATGAGAAGCTTTTGAGCGTGTAAGTGAAGTGAGTGCTGGAATTAGAGAAGGGATGATCGTGCTGGTCCAGCCAGCTCTTTATACCTCTCAGTATTAACAGAATCCCGCGAGAAAAGCCATTAGATACAGCAAAAACCATACCTCTCGACGGACTTACACGTTCGCTCTCGGCATCACAGCATGGGTGTTGGCCGCGTCTCCGGGCCCGTACCGGCTCGAGGCCCACTAAATAATCCAATTGCATTAGCGCCGTTCCGCTATGTCATGACACGCAGCAGCCACAGGAACGGGGAACATGGAGTTAGGGGAGTTGGCTGACTCTCGGCGAGTCTTGGTCAATCGTCCGGTTACACAGTGTTGTAAGGCACGTCAAGGCAAGCCATGCTCTGACGGTATCTACTCTTGAGTAAAGCTATAACGTCGTTGGGTCAGCAATACCAAGTCCAAGCACTGTCCCCATCCGGGAGGGCTGAAAGTGCCAAGAACGCATGAGGCTCGGGGTTAATATTCGTACCGAAAGGCTTCCAACTTCCCGAGGGTTGCAAATTCAACATCTACTTTCTGCTAGTTGATGTCAGTTGTATGGCCACCTAGCTGATATTGATGAGCCCAAAGACAAGCAATGGTTGTGCCATTGATTCCAGCACGATCTTGTTGGTGTCCAGTAAATCTATAGGTACCTCACCTTAGCCATTGCTGATTGTGGCTCGAGCAATCCCCGAAAATGATATTTTACTATAATACTAATACTAACACGCAGAATCACCATACGGGGAAGGTTCTCTTTTTTCGAACAGCATTCAATACCTCGAAATACTGGAAGAATTTCTTCTAGATCCTTGCCTCAATGAACCAGGAAAGGAGTAAAACCCGCTGAATGCACCTTCCACTGCCGGTTCCTGTTGGCTCCACACCGAGAACCTCACCTTCCAGGTTCAATTGGGCTCAGTGGGCTGAATCTCCCCTGCGCCGTCTCGAGCTCGTCCCCTGGCTAGCCGTGCCCGCTACCCCAACTTTCCATCACTCAGCCTCGTCTTCTTCCTTCAACTTCGCACGCAACTTCGTCGCGTTTACCATTTGATTTGTATACCAACGGCGCGATGGCGCAACAGGACGCGCCAAAGCTCCTCTGGAACCCAGACAACGTCAAAGACGTCGCAGAGTCCGTCGGAATCCCCAACCTGAACGACGATGCATTGCGCTGCCTGACGCAAGATGTCGAGTACCGGATCGGACAAGTCCTCGTCGAGGCTCTGCGCTTCATGCGTGCCTCCCGCCGTACTACTCTGACCGTCAACGATATTAGCACCGCGCTCAAGGCTCTCAATATTGAGCCTCTCTACGGTTACGACTCGACGCGTCCACTGCGATACGGCGAGGCTAGCTTGGGACCCGGGCAACCGCTCTTCTACCTTGAAGATGAGGAGGTCGACTTCGAGAAGCTCATCAACGCTCCTTTGCCCAAAGTGCCGCGTGACATGAGCTTTACGGGTACGTGATTTCATACCTTCTCCAAAATCTCTGTCACATCTGCTAACTGTTGCCAACCCAGCCCACTGGCTCGCCATCGAAGGCGTTCAACCCTCCATCCCGCAGAACCCCACCACGGCCGAATCACGAAGTCAAGAACTCGTACCCAAGGGCCAGGGTGCCAACCCAGCCCTCGCTGCCCTCGCCGGCAACGACAACCTCTCCTTCCGCCCGGCTGTTAAGCACGTCGTCTCCAAGGAGCTCATCCTCTACTTCGAAAAGGTCCAAAACGCCGTCCTCGATGATAACCCCGACGAGGAGGTGGTGCGCCTCCGCCAGGCCGCCCTCGAATCCGTTCGCGATGACCCGGGTCTGCATCAGCTGATCCCCTACTTCATAAACTTCGTCGCGAACCAGGTCACCCATCGTCTCGACGACGTCTTCACACTTCGCCAGGCCATGGAGCTCACATCTGCCCTCATCGCAAACACCAAGCTCTACCTTGACCCCTACGCCAACGCCATCGCCGCACCCGTACTTACGTGCATCCTCAGCCGTAAGATCGGCGCCGAGGATGGTGCGGACGCCATGCGCGAGCAATACCAGCTCAGAGAATTCTCCGCGTCGCTGCTCGGTCAGATTGCGCGCAAGTACGCCGCCTCGAATAACCTGCTGCGCCCCAAACTGGTGCGGACGTGCTTGAAGTTCTTCATGGACCCGGATAAGCCGCCCTCAACGCACTTTGGCGCCATCACGGGCGTTGCGTCCGCTGGTGGTCCTGAGGCGGTGCGGGTTCTGGTACTCAAGTGCCTGAGAGCCTACAATGACAACATTCTGCAGCCTCTCAAGGACAAGGGCGAGAGCATCGAGTTTGAGATGCTCGTCGGTGGAATTCTCAAGGCTATTGCTACCATGATTGAGGACGACAGAACGACCGTCAATGGCATCAACGGGAGCGCCAACAGCTATGCCGCTGAGCTCAACGAGTTCATCGGGCCCATCCTCGGAGAGCGGCTGAATAGCCTGGGCAACCGGAGACTAATCAAACATGTCTTGGATGCCAGAAACATCGAGTGATAGTCTGGCGAGCATGGACTGTCTTTGGGAGGCGTAACGGCGTTTGGATCAGGCATGGCAAAACATGGTTCTAGGGAGGCATACCACATAAATTGAGACCATTGGCGTCTGGCAGTTAACCCATTTTTTACCTTACATTTTTTGAGTGATGCTTGTTTGTCATTGATCGCGTGAAGAGTTGCTTGAGGCGTCAGGGTTTGATCGTGTGAACTTAATGCTGCTAATTTTTTCGGCGCCAGCATTCACCAGCATTGATTCAATGCCAATATTATTCAGTAGACACTGCTCCACATGGACGAAACCAAGACCCCATGAAGTGGTTGGAACAATTGATTAACATGCTTGTTACTCAAGGGAATTCGTTTTTACAGCTTTCAGTCTATACAATCCCTCTCGCCTTTTAGGCAGAAGGAGGCCGTACGCCCAGCAATTTCCAGGCGCCAACCAATAAAACTCCAGGTTACCCCCCAAATCTCCCATCACTCTCATCTTCTTCTGGCCCCCTCGGTGTCCGTGATGTCGTCACCGTAACCTTCTTCTCCTTGCCGCATCCCCGTGCCCGATTACCACGTACCATCATA